CACACACACAGACAACCTCTCGTCAATATGCGTTTTTCGCATTGCATAGGTGCAAAAAACGCATAAAAAGGAATTTGCGCGTCCGACTCGGCTTTTAATTTTTTGCGAATCACAGGTAATTTTAACTTTTGGTTTGGGATTTCAAAAGATTTTGACAGGCAAGTCCAGCGGGCAACTGGCGTAGATGTAAACATGCGAATTGGAGTACACACAGGATCGGTGCTTTGTGGAGTACTTGGACTCCGCAAATGGCAGTTTGACATTTGGAGCGATGACGTGACCCTCGCAAATCATATGGAATCATCTGGCAAACCAGGGTTGAATTTTCGACATTGCCAAAAAATTGCATGAGTATTCAAAAAAAAATTTGCTTTCCTAAATTAAACTGGTTGAAAACCAAAATAATTGCCAAACCATACTTTTGCAAACCTTTTTCAGGATATGCACAGTAAGTAAAAGAATAAGATGATGATGCAGGAGACAAAATTTTTCCGCAAAGAAATTTAATGCCTCGGGATAGGAAACGTTGCTCGTCTTGTAAATGATGTTGTGTATTAATATTTCCACAAAACAAAAATTTGTCATTTAAACCTCCGAAAAAAATGGAAAGTTCGTGTGGTGAAGGCAATTTTCGGCGACGAACAGGCAAAAGGTCAAGACAGATGGAGTAAATGCAAAAACCGCGTCCATCCTTACAAATTCTATATTCTTAAATGCGACACGGAAACATTTTGGCGCAAGTGCCTTCTCGCCACTAATATGAAACTTTTCTTCAGTGCAGTGCATATAACAAAAGCAACGAAAGAACTACTTCTTGGCGATTACAACATTGTTGAAGCAAAGTACGTTTATGCACTATAATGACCCTTAAGTCGCTGGCGAATGTAATGCTACATGTCGCTACTTTCCACAGTTTTTAATTTTGAAAAATAAATTAGCGGCCCATCGACGGCCAAGAAAAGGGAACGCTGTAAATCATTCAAGCAAATTGATTATTAATATTTAAAAACAGGCCACATATTTTTGGCAGGCCTATTTTTGGCATGATCAGACTTTTCATAGCATTCGCTAGAGTCTCTCAAAATGTATTTGGTGGTGGTAAAGCAAGCCTCAAAAGCTGCAAATTTGAAAAAGAAACTTTTTTTTTAATTCAGAAATCGATTTTCAGCTCGGAAGATCCGATACTTGTTGCTCTGGGTCAGCCTACGTACTATATTCTGCCGGATAAGACATCATTACTTGAACGAACTGCCTCCATTTACAACAGGTTTTTATGAATACTCGGTTTCTCAGCAGCCCTGATCAAATATGCTGCCTATCTGATATCGTTATAATTGACAAACGCTTTTCATTCCAAGAAATAGCAAAAAAAAGCAAGCTAACACAGTCGAATCCCTAACATACTGAGCATCACGCTAACACTTTACAATCCCATTAAGCTCTGACTTCGGTATGAGGCCCGAACCCGCGCGCCAATGCGCAAATCCGGACGATCAATTTTATCACCGTCTACAACGTGTTCATTCCGATTTGTGTTTTCATAAATTCTCATACCAACAATGGTTAGTTCTGCAGTCTCAAATCATCAGTGATTAGTGCTTCCGTAAATCTCGGTAATTCTAGTCAATAATGTTTGTTTCGGGAAATGTAGAACATTTCGACATGAGTACACTAAATTTGTAAGCTGTCTTTTTTCACGAACGTCACGACTAGCCAGAATCCTAGTAGTTTCAAAATGATTCATATTCAGTTTGCAACGTTTTGCTAAAATTGCATAAATTATAAAATTTTCCAGGAAAATGATGCACACTGCGGCTGATGGAAGCAATACTTCGAAACTGACGCGGGTATACAGCCGCGTATCATTTAAGTCAAAAGTTTCGAAAGTAGCCGAATACTGGGGTGCAGAGACGCCGTTCGCAAGTCTATCCAGACCAGCATCTACCGAAGCCACTGCACAACAGCCGCTAATTGTTGTATGTATTTTATACTTTTTGTCCTATGCAACAGCCGCACAGAACGCATAGTCGCTGCCTCGTATTTTTCAATATGAGAACCAAGAAAGCTAGGAAGCTGAAATTTTACAATAGTGTTTCCTGCCCACACGCACCCTCGTAGTTCTGGTTTTCTAGCTTTCACGCACGCCTGAATGTCATGGACGGTCATGTGAAAATCTTCGCGAGAAAATTTGCTGGCCCAGGAACCTGGAGAACCAGGAAATTGTGTTTTCCGCCTGCGTATGGATCTCACAAACTTGAGTTTGGCTCCTGCGTATGCCTAGGCCTCACGTACAGCCACGCGACAGTTTTAGCGCGTAAGTCACTCGGAAACCAGTAAACTAGAAAGCCGAGATTTTGAGAGGATTTTCTTCTTCTATGTGCTATCCAAGTTTTAAAATTCAGCTTTCATGCAGACTTGCGTCTCACGTACTGGTGTGTGAAATTTTCAGGAAGGAATTTAACAGCTTAGGAGACAAACAATATTTCGACTATTTTTGCATACAACAAAGTGTAAAACAGTAAAAATTTTTAACAGACAAACGCTCACTGGACGAAACTGTTCAAAACGCATAATCGCACCAGCTACTCCGGTGCATACTGCTATTTATTTTTTCTTCAGTGAAGACTTTCACGTTTTGCTCAGAACCTTCGTACTTCAGTGCGCGTGATGTGTAATTCAGTTCCACATACGCATCGAATTAAATGGAGGGCTTACTGTCTAATTAGTGGGTTCACACAGGGTACCATGTTATACTTTCTGCAGATCCCAAGTCTCCTGCATGCAGTGCTTGTAATTTTCAACTAGAGCGCATTTTCACTTAAACGCGCTGTAATACAAAGATACATTCCAAAAGAACTGAATATTTCTTGTACCTTGAGTTTCAAAATCTGAAAAACAGATCATCGACATTTGAGGATATTGCAACACACGTTAGATTACAGCACCGTGTTTTTTTTTTTTTTCTGGAGAATTTGTTGTAAAAGGTTCGTGCATAAACTTTAGAAGATTTTCGGTATCTAATGAAAAATTCCGAGTAATTTTTACTTTAGTTCCTCAAACCTTCATCTTTAGAAATTCATGAAAGTTCGTGGAACAAGGGTTCTGCATTGGTTCATCACTATCTAAGCAAGTAAAGTCACCTGATTACAGGATAATGAAAAACGTCATAACTTATATCCTGATTCGAGTACTGTCCAGAGTTTAACGCTAATCGAGAATAATCTTGCTAGCTATACGTTCAGCAGGTAAAATCCATAAATTCTTTACGGCCTTGTTTTCCGTATCTAAAACCCCCGCGTTTTTACTCTTCATCCTGAACTTTGAAACAGGCCTAAAAGTTGTCACTGCAGAATCTCTTAATATATCAATAGATGAGTTTAAAATGAAAAATATACTTTTTACGCCTCTTTTGTCAAGCAATATCGCACTGATCTTCTACACTCTTTCCGGTTCTTTTTGCCTTTTTGCCTTGTTTACTCTATAGTACCTACAAAATCAACAGTTTATGCGTTTTGTACAATAGGTAAATTTTTTTGGAGATAATTCTGCAATTTTTCAACGCAGGGAATTTCGCAGTTTTAAGAAGCAATTCCATCCGAATTTGTTCTTAAATAATCATGCATTAACAATGTTATTTCAGCATTTTCGAACTTCTAAAATGTGCAAGACCAACTGTTTCTGGTTCCGGAACACCCTTTCTTCTGTTTCCGTTCAAGTTTGTTTTCAATGGTATCTTTCAAAATAAATGCCATTAGAATCGGTTTTTTTTTTTTTTTTTTTT